TTTCAGGTTATTTAAATTCTAATCCTCACTGTTGAGATTTTTTTTTTTAACGTGCAAGGTATCTTATTAAAAACACCAGAGAGGCTGCTTTTGTGATTCCAATATAAAAATCTTTGTTGAGCATCTACTAAGCACAAAGCCTCATGCTAGATCTGATAATATAATAATGCTTAAAAAACAAAAAACAACATTGTCCCTGCCTTCATGAAACTCAAGAACAGAAGCACTTTGATTTGCTTATAGGCCCAGTAAAGTGGATTACTACTTGATTTGTCAGTCAAGTGAACACAAAACTTCAGGAGTCACTCTAATACTCGAATCTAACCAAAATGATTGGTCAATTTCCTTTCCTCAACCATAAAGCAATCTCTGAAATTCACCTAAAAAAACAACAAACAAAACCCCACAACACCTCACTTTTGACAAGCTAACACGCTTTTATACAAATCAATAATGTGAATAAGAAAAACTTGAATTTCCTTCATAGCAAGACCGTTTCAGGTAACTGAGGGTATGCTATGAACAGGAAATAAAGTACTCCAACACTGCACAGAAGCACTTAGGAGAAAACAAAAACCCTGCCCTTACTACTACAGTTAAGAGGACTAGTAATAGTGAAATGGTGAATAGTGAAATAGTGAAATAGTGAAATAGTGAATGGTGAAATATGATGTCTAAGATTTGCTTCAAAATAACTTGATGGAGAGGGTACAGGTGAAACAAAATTGCTGATTATTGGTGACATTGACTGATAGGTATATTAAGGCTTAACATACTACTCTATAGTGTACATGTTTAAAATAGTCTAGAATAAAAGTATTTAAAAAGTAAAGTAGACCATCTTTGAGACCTCTATTTGTGCACTGGTGTCTCCAGCCATAACAGGCATTTAATCACATACAAATGTTTCAAGCCTTTAAAAAAAATGAGGCATCTCTCAATAGCCCTTATTTCAACATATTCTATTTGCTTTAACTTGAAGTACAATATATCTTACTAAAACTATGGACAGATATTTAATACTGATAAAAATCAGTTGTAAAAGCACCCCAAATTCTGTTGAATGGCTGACACACACAGCCATAAAGTTTAACATAAAGAGCAAAAACTTTTAAAAATGTAGCTTTAATTCCAAGAAATTTTTAGAATCTGAAGTTTTACATCTTTTAAATAACTGCCATTTACCGAGTGCCTAATATATGCCAGCTACTTTAAAAGTAATCTCTAATCCTAAAAACTCATTTTACAGATAAGGAAACTAGCTCAGAGAAGTGATACATCCGTGATCATATGCTAGTACTACTAAGCGGAAAGCTAAGATTAAGGCCCAGGTCAAAATCTACAGCTAGCTCTCCGAAGTCATGCTCCTCTCTTTTATTCAACAAATAGTCAACACTCAGTACAAGCCTGGCAACGGGGCACTAACTGTATGCCAAGCAACGAGCTAAGGGTTTTTAATCACATTTAATCCTCACAACAGCTCAAAAATGTAGGCACCATTATCCCCTGTATAGATAAGGGCACTGAGTCTGAAAGGTTAAGTAACTTGCTTATGGTCAAAACTAGGAAGTCAAAGCACATTACACATGACATGCGCCAAGGCATGACCAGTAACAGTGCCTACGCAGAAACCTTGAGGAAAATTTTTGGAAAGTCTTCGGGGAAGGAGGAGTGGGAGCTGAATTAGTGCAAGGTTAAGCGTGTCCTTAATAACCACATCTAAATAAAAGGAAGCTGTGATAGTACTGAAATGAGCAACAATCTGCAAGAGTTAGAATCGGGGCTCTGACACCGCCGTGGGGCCACCAGGAAAGCCCTTGCTCTCTGGAGAACCCCATTTTTTTCTTCAAATGTAAAATGGAAATCCAGCCCTCTCACCCCTGGAATTGTGAGAATAAGGACTGGCAGTGTAGTGGCTGACACGACAAGACTTTGGGTTACCAAGGAGAATCCACTGTCATCCAACGCTGCCTTGTCAATCAATGGTCAGGTCTGCGACCCTGGCCTAACTCAACGCAGTGAGCCCCCGCCCCAGGGGAGGGAGAGGCCAGTGTGCACGCACCGGCCTTAACCGGCCACAGCACAACCTCAAGCCTCAGTTTCCTCGCTTGTAAAATGGAGAGAACGCGACTTATCACCAACAGCTACGTGAAGTGCGAAGACACCCAAATCTGTGCCTGGCACACAGGAAAGTGCAAACGAGCCAAACAACGCCTGTTCCTTCTTTTCAGTCCTAGAAACGCCAAAACTTTTGGTCGTCTTCATCATTTCTGGATCCCATCTGGGCTCGGGGCCTGAGAGGATGTCCTGGGCCTTCCAGGGACTCGCCCAAACCACAGCCTCCCAAGCACAGACCCTCTTCTCCAGCCCGAGGCCGGGCAGTCCACCCACACCGACAAGGACACCGGCGACAGTCCAAGATGCCGGCGTGCTGCCTTTTGTACTCCGGGCCAGACGCGGCCTACGGGACGGGGACTGCCACGTCTGGGGCTCGTGGGCTGCCTGGCGCGGCTCGCGCGGATCAACACCGCGGGGGTGGTCCGCAGCCGCCGGGAACGGCAGCAAGGGGAGCAGGGCCTGCGGAGGCCAGTCTGCCCGGTGCGGCCGAGGAGGCGGGGGAGGCGAGGCCGAACACACCCTTCCCCACATGCCTCTCCACTGGGCGGGGAGGACCCGAGGCTTCGGCGGGCGCAGCGCAGGGCCACACTCGCCCCCGCATGGGAGTCCCGGCAGACAGGGCCCCACGGCGCCCACCGCGACCCCGGGTTCGCTGCGGCCTGACAGGGCCTGTCCTGAGGCCCCGCCCGCCCGCGGCCCCGGATCGCCGTCGTCCCCACTCTTGGCCTCCGCGAGCCAGGCGAAGAGGCCTCGGACGGACGGACACTGCGGAAGGCCTGGATTACCTGGGGGGTTGCTGGTGGCTGGGCAGCTTTCCGGGCGGGAGGGGGGGCGTCAGGGCGAGGAAGAAGAGTGCGGGCGCAGCCGAAAAGGGCGGGGGCGGTCGGCCCAGGCCCCGGCAGGTAGCGGGTTGGACAAGGAGGTGCAGACGCGCTAGCGGCAGTAGCGGTGGCAGCGGCGACTGCTCCTGGGGATCCCTCAGGATCTTCCTCGGGCAGGTCCAAGATGGCGGCGCTCCCTGCACAGGGTTTCCTGTCACCCTCGCAATGGGCCGGACCACAAAAGAAGGGGGAGAGGGATGCGCGCGCAGCTGGCGGAGCCCGGAAGAGAGTGGCCAGGCCCAGCCGGATAAGCCACGCCCCTTCCTCAGTCCTCCCATCCTGACTTGTCGCGCTGCCGCGAACGCCCGCCCACTGGCCCTCACGCTGGAGGGGGCGGAGAAAGCGCTCATGCGCAAGCGCAGTTTACTGAGCAGGTCTGTGTAGAAGTTGAGTGAGGTACGTCTGGTTCTAACTATTTTTAATGCCAGCAACTACCGCTTACTGGACACTAAGCGCACAGTTACTGCATTCATTCATTCAACATGTATTTATGGAACGCTGTACATGAGGTCCCTGGCCAAAATCCCAGGAGGTACATATCCCCATTTTATCGATGACGAAACTGAGGCTCAGGCCCTGACCGGCTTGGCTCAGTGGATAGAGCATCGGCCTGCGGACTGAAAGGTCCCGGGTGCGATTCCTGTCAAGGGCATGTACCTTGGTTGTAGGCACATCCCCAGCTGGGGGTGTGCAGGAGGCGGCTGATCGATGTTTCTCTCTCATTGATGTTTCTAACTCTATCCCTCTCCCTTCCTTTCTGTAAAAAATCAATAAAATATTAAAAAAAAAAAAGAAAGAAAGAAACTGAGGCTCAGAGTGATCAAGTCACTTGTCCAAGATCATGCAGCTAGGTAGTGGCACTTTCTGCCCTATGTTTCTCTTCTGTCTCTTTTAACCTTTGGGAGTGCCTTTGACAGGAAAAGAGAAATTGTAACCACATTTTTCTCAATTTGTTCATCGCTTCCCATATTTCAATTTGGGCTACTATTATCACCTTCCCAGAAAGTGTAGCACAACTTAGTACAAGGCCGCCTTAGGACTTTTGTAGGCCCTGAGCACTTTTGCCTTGTGCTTGAGGAGATATATATATATATAAATATTTTACAAACTGCTTTGGTATAGAGATGAATGTATTAATGTTATGTAGCAAAACATTTTCTTTGACCTAAAAGTTTATTTTTCTTTCTGGTTTTAAAAGAACTTAAAACATTATTGTGGGCCCCTAAAAGTATTATGAGCCCTGGGCACTCTGCCTAACAGATGAGACTACTCTGCCTCAGTCCCCCAAAATGGGGTTCAAGCTCCCTCTTAGCATTCAAATCTTTCATAAGCTGGTTCTGTCATGGATAAGTGATATTTCATTGGAAAAGTGTATGGCAATTTACAGATCTATTTGCAGAAGGACCTGGGTGCAAATCCCTGTTCTGCAATTTACTAGTGAGATGATGCCATTGGACGTGCCATTTGATTTCTCAGATCCTCAGTCTCTTCTGCAAAGTAAGGGTGATGATATCTCACAAGGACCTTTGTAGAATTAAATGAGACAATATATGCAAAATGCTTGGCATACAAAAATTTAATATATGGGAATGGTTATTATAAGATAATCTAATATAAAGTAATATTGATACCCCTTCCAGCCATATAGGTCTATTGCTATGTTTTTTAGTTCTAATAAATAACTTGTGGTCACAATTGAACATCTCTGAAATCAGGAAATTTGTCTGTGCCAAATAAAAGAAGCTGTGGACCAATTGCCCTTATTTGTGCAGCAATGGACTTAGGCTTGAGTAGAAAGTTTCTGTATCCAGTTGTCACCTGAATTGAAACCCAATGCATAGCTAATGCTTATTTTTTTTTTATATATTTTATTGATTTTTTACAGAGAGGAAGGGAGAGAGATAGAGAGTTAGAAACATCGATCAGCTGCCTCCTGCACATCTCCCACTGGGGATATGCCCGCAACCCAGGTACATGCCCCTGACCGGAATCGAACCTGGGACCCCTCAGTCCGCAGGCCGACGCTCTATCCACTGAGCCAAACCGGTTTCGGCAGCTAATGCTTATTGAACTTATCAAGTGCCAGGTGACTTATTATGTTCCAGGAAATGTCCTAAGAATTATGCATAGTTCCTTATTTAATCCCTATAACAACCCCATGAAATTGGTGCTACATTCACCTATTTTATGAATGAGAAAACTGAATGTCATACAGGTCTAAAGTCATATAGGAAAAACTGGTAGTGCTGGGACTTGAACTCAAGCATATATCACTTCAGAGCTCCCATTCCTAGACACCATTCCATACATCGTCCCTTATATGCACTTGTAGCAGTTTAAATGTAGATCCTTATTGCTGCTTAAGTCTATGTCAAAGACATTAAACTTTTATTCAGCATTAAAGATAAACTCTTGTGAATGCAGAGTACCTGTCACATGCTAAGCAATGCAATTAAAGTAGAAAATGTCAATTCTTGTGATAAGTCGCAGAATTTTCAAAGTCAGGAGAGACTGTGTGACCCATTGCATCATAAAGAAAAACTATCCATTGGATGCCAAACATCTGTCAGGATTTCTAGTTAACTTTTTTTAAATGCTGTTTATATAAAGAGATGTATACACAAAATAGTCATTGCAGCACTGTTTATAATAGGAAAATCCTAGATACAAACTATTACGAGAAAGCTGTTATAATAAATTTTAGTATACATGTCTTATGGAATATATGCAGTGCAGCAATTAAAAGAAATGAGGTACATGTATATGTCCTGACATGGACAATCTCTAAGAAATGCTTCAAGTAAAAAATACAAGATGCAGAAAACTAAATAGTAATGCCAACATTAGTTAAACTAAAAGGAAGGGAAAATAGACAGGTGTTTGTGTGACTGAACATTGAGAGGGACTTTTCCTGTTGTCTTGAAACTGCTGCTGAGGCCCAAATCTGATTTAAAAAAAAAAAAAAAAAAGTCCATAAGAGCCCTGTTCTGCATTTAAAAATTGCCAGTGGTTGAAACCAGCTCTATTACAGCAGGGCGTTTGAAGAGCCATTACTGTTCTACCAGCCCTTCCACCAACCCCTCCTCCCTACCTATTCCCCATTTCCACCTCTCTCCCCACAGACAAACCATCACCACTACATGGAAAGAATGGGAGATGGGAGGGAAGTCAGCTTTTAGGGAAAATGAGTGTTCTGTGAAGACCCATCTTTTCCTCTTCTTTCATGAGAATCACTAGTGAACATTGGGCGTGCCTACAGAAGAAGAGACTGGCAGCCCCCCTCCAAACTACCCCCCTCCTCCCCCCCGCCCCATATATGTTTGTGCAGCAGCAGGCTCTCTGATCTGCTCTGCCCCATTGTTTCCTAAGGAAAACACAAATAGGGAGAGACCGCATGGCAGGGGCTCTGGATGGCATGGTGGGTGGCTCTAGATGGAGAAGGTCTAAAACTGCCCCCACCATGTTCACATATACCTTGACTTCCCAGTCCTAGATTGGAGAACAGCAAAGAAATGTTCAAGCTGGAAGTCAGCTGGAAGATGCAGCAAATATATGAGGAGTAATCCATTCCTAGGGGAGATTCACGAAATCACTCCAGGTACTGATACTTTGCCATATCACCTGTTCTTGTTTCATTTTTATCTGTTGATATTGTATAACTTCTTTTGTTATTCTATTCTTTATATTTTTCCAGAGCTTAAACATCTAAGTCATTTTCAAATCTCTATTGTGTTTATTTAAACCAAATTAGTTCATCTTCTTATTAGTTTTATAGGCTTAATTATTTTGTTAATCTTCCTCATATATTTTAGAATTTTGGTTCAGAGGCATATGTTGGATTGTAAACTGTTTTTCTCTATCTCTCTCTACACTTACCCCTTTTTGTATAGTGGTTTTGGACTTGCCACCAATCCAGAGTCAGATATTAAAATATTGGTGTCCCAATTTTTACAGTAATATTAAAAATAAAGCCGAAACCGGTTTGGCTCAGTGGATAGAGCGTCGGCCTGCGGACTGGGGGGTCCCGGGTTCGATTCCGGTCAGGGGCATGTGCCTGGGTTGCGGGCACGTCCCCAGTGGGAGATGTGCAGGAGGCGGCTGATCGATGTTTCTCTCTCATCAATGTTTCTGACTCTCTATCTCTCTCCCTTCCTCTCTGTAAAAAATCAATAAAATATATATTAAAAAAAAAAATAAAGTTTGTACTCTGAAATTTATTACTATGTGCATGTGCTATCTAATTTTTTTAAATTGTTTTATTGCTTAAAGTATTACAAAGAGTATTATATATGTCTCCTTTTTTTTTCTCCCCTTGACCTTCCCCTAGCCTCCCATACCCCCCAGTGTATTGTGTCCATTGGTTATGCTTATATGCATGCATACAAGTCCTTCGGTTGATCTCTTACCCACCCCCACAACCCTCCCTGGCCTTCCCGCTGTAGTTTCAATAGTCTGTTCAATGTTGCTCTGCCTCTGTATCTATTTTTGTTCATCAGTTTATAATGGTCTTTATTATCCATAAATGAGTGAGATCATGTGGTATTTTTCTTTCATTGACTGGCTTATTTCACTTAGCATAATGCTCTCCAGTTCCATCCATGCTGTTGCAAATGGTAAGAATCCCTTCTTTTTTACAGCAGCATAGTATCCCATCATGTAGATGAACCACAGTTTTCTAATCCATTCATCTACAGATGGGCACTTAGGCTGTTTCCAGATCTTAGCTATGGTAAATTGTGCTGCTATGAACATAGGGGTGCATATATCCTTTCTGATTGGTGTTTCTGGTTTCTTGGGATAAATTCCTAGAAGTGGGATCACAGGGTCAAATGGGAGTTCCATTTTTAACTTTTTGAGGAAACTCCATACTGTCTTCCATAGTGGCTGTACCAGTCTACATTCCCACCAGCAGTGCACAAGTGTTCCTTTTTCTCCACATCCTCTCCAGCACTTGTCGTTTGTTGATTTGTTGATGATAGCCATTCTGACAGGTGTGAGATGGTACCTCATTGTTGTTTTGATTTGCATTTCTCGGATGATTAGTGACTTTGGGCATGTTTTCATATGTCTCTTGGCTTTCTGAATGTCCTCTTTTGAAAGGTGTCTATTTAGGTCCTTTGCCCATTTTTTGATTGGATTGTTTATCTTCCTTTTGTTAAGTTGTATGAGTTCCCTATAAATGTTGGAAAAATATTTTAGATGTAGTTGATTGACTTTGATACATAATTCAATTAAGTAGGAACAAATACGTTAAAAATACTGCTTTAATAAAAAAGAAAAGGTCATTGCTATACTTCAAAATTTAGCAGGCTGACCAAAAAGTCAAAATCAAATTCATGGGAGTCTTTAGTCTCTGGATATGAAAAAGGACTAGATTCAAATCCTTTAGAAGTGATGTATAAGTGTAAGGATAACTACATGCTATATTCCCTTGTAAAAGAAATTTTGTAACCATTAAAATAGCCCCTCTCACCTGGCTGGTATGGCTCAGTGATTGTCAACCTATGAACCAGGAGGTCACAGTTTAATTTCCGGTCAGGGCATGTGCCTGGGTTGCGGGCTCCATCCCCAGTGTGGGGTGTGAGGAGTCAGCTAATCAATGATTCTCTCTCATCATTGATGTTTCTATTTCTCTCTCCCTCTCCCTTCCTCTCTGAAATCATTAAAAAATATTTTTAAAAAATAGTCCCTCCCCACAGCCATGTACCTTATACTGACCGCCCCCCTTCCCATTATAATCCTCTGGAGTAAAACTTATGGGGGTGTGACCTTCTAAAGTTGACCCATAGCAACAACAAAAATCACATAAGGTTAAAAGTGTTCTTGAACATTTCTCAGAAGAGTTTGGCACTGGAGACTGATTTATTGTCTCTGAGTTTTCCTTCAGTGTTTAATCTGATATAGCCCTCCCTTGGGTGACTACCAGGAGAAGTGGGTGGCTTAGATTTAAAGGCCATGTTACATGAAAAAATATGCATCTTTGAACTTTGGAACCATACTCAGTATGGCTAATGACCACGTCATGAAATCCACATGAAAACGAATATCCACTAAGAATATATCAGATTCAACTCTTTATCACAACTCTTTATCACATCTTACTCCAAGGCATGCACTTGCTTAGAATAAGGGAGGGCAGAACAACATTTAAATTTTCTCTATTGGTTTGTTGACCTTATACATTTAGTTGAAATAATGTAAGTTAAAAATGTGTGTATTAAACATGATAATTCTCACCATGGCACAAACATGGTAGGTGCTGTCAAGAACTGAGATCTTACCCTAGTTGCAAGCTAACAACTTAGCCTAATGCAGTTTCATGGATACAGGCAGAAGACATGAGATTTCTTGGGTCAGAGACAAAAGACTTCATTTTTCATAGCACTGCATGTAGCAACAGCATCAGCATATTTGCATCAGCTCCTGGATGTCTGAACACGGTGTGTTACAGGAGAGGAACCCTGAGCTTAGTGAAACCAAATATTTTATAGTGAAGAGTAAGCATTTCTGTCCTTTGCTCTGGAGGGAACCTATCTTTGAAGGCTTTTTGTTCTACAAACATCCTTGAAAGGATAGTTTAGGACAAATGACAGTCAGAGCCTCTGCTCTCAAGATGTGCAGACACTAGAGACCCACAGAGGGTTGTCTCCCAACAGGGACAAGATTTTATTGTGCTGTATCTATATATATGAAAGGCTAAGTGACCATCCCACTGGCCGACTGGCCAGTACCTATGACGCATACTGACCACCAGGGGGCAGACGCTCAATGCAGGAGCTGCCGAGGTGTGGTGACTGGGCAGTGGTGGTTCTCTGGTGACGCACCCCAGACAGAGAGGAGGGAGCCCGATTCCTCACCAGGCCATGCAATTCCACCTTCAGCCATGGGTTATGTTGTTGTTGGGGCACTGTCGGCCCTGATTCTGGTTTACTTACTACACACTTCCGTTTGCATTCCACACCCTGTATGACAACAACTTTGCAGAGTGCCCTCTCGCACTCCGGGACCCCTCAGGGGATGTGGGAGAGCAGGTTTTGGCCCCATCCCTGCAGGCTAGGCCAAGGGACCCCACCTGCCGGAGGGACCCCGCTCACTCTGCAGATGCCCTTCGAGCCACGGTGCCACCTTAGGTGTGGGACTGAGGGAGGTTGGCTCCTGGGTATATCTGGCCCATCTCGGCCAGTCCCGCCCTGCCGGCCAACTTCTAATTAATTTCCTTTCAATGTGCATGAATCCGTGCACCAGGTCACTAGTTGTATTATATTTGGAGAGAGGGGATGATAAGTAAATGGTTTGCTATCGAGGAAAGAATATGGTTTTGAGCCCTAGCTGGTTTGGTTCAGTGGATAGAGTGTCGGCCTGGGGACTGAGTGGTCCCGGGTTCCATTAGATTCTGCTCAAGGGCGGGTACCTTGGTTGCAGGCTTCTCCAGGGTCCAGGCCTAGTCAGGGGCGTGCAGGAGGCAACCAATCGATGTGTTTCTCTATATATCAATATTTCTCTCTGTCTTTCCCTCTCTCTAAAAATCAATGGAAAAATATCCTTGGGTGAGGATAACTAACTAACTAAATAAATAAATAAGTAAATAAATCAGGTTGGAGAAGAGGCTTTTAGACTGATAGCTAATAGTGAATCCCAGAACCAGGCTGCACAGACTTGGGCAGGCACCCTGCTGTAGGGGTTGTGGAGTCACAGAAGCAGCCCCCTCCCAGTAAGAAGAAGGACAGTGCTGAGTTGAGCATGACCAGGTATTCTCAGATTTACCCAATAGATCAGTCCTTCCTCTACCCAAAATTGCTCAAAAAATGAAAGAAAACTTACTCTTTGAAACAAGAACTAGGAAAAAGGGATTCATTCCCCTCTTCCATTCAGAGTGAACAGAGTGAGGCTTAGAAATAGCAGAGAAAACAACTATAAAACAGCGCACAGATACAAGAAGGACTCAAGTTGCCAAGTCAGAAAACTACCCAACTTTAGTTAGATTGAGTCCCAGCTTTGCCTCTTAGTAGCTGGAAAGTTTTAGGTAAGTCCTGTAAACTCTAATTCTTCACTTCTTGCCTTTAAAATGAGGAAATATCTAATTCTTCGGGTAGTTGTGAAGAGAAAATGAGGCAAAGCATGAAAAGCTCTTAGCAGAGTCCCTGGAAGTAAGTAAGCCCTCTGGAAACAGTAGCTGTGATGATTATTTCTGAGAACCAATCAATAGCTCCTGAAGCAGTTTCTCCTTTGCTATCATGGAATTCAACAGAGATCAGAAGGGTTTCTGCAAAATAACAAAACAATTGGGGAGAGAGGGAGGAGAGGGGAAGAATGGGAAACAGGCCTCTGCAGGCTTAGCTGGTTTGAAAGATTGACTGGAACACTGTCCAGGGTAAATTGGGCTGGCCCTTCCCCTTCCCCTACCCACTGTACAACCTGAAAGACATGCAATCACACACACACACACACACACACACACACACACACACACACACACACACAACCAATATCCAGAGTATGGCATCACTACTCCGTTTCCTGGAGAGGATATTGCCTTTATAGATGTATTCATTAGGAGAGGCTAGATTTTGCTGTGTAACAAATGACCCCAAAGTCTCA